CAGCTCCCGTGGCCCGGCCGTAACCAAACCCGCCTGCAGAGCCAGGGACAAGATGAGGCAGGCAGCCAAGACGCCGCGGAAGGAAGCCAGGCAGGGGCGCCCGGGTTCGGGGCTCTGGACCTGCAGAGTTAGAAATTCAAGTCCAGCTGCCCCCACCCCCGGGGCCGGTGCTCTTGGAAGACGCCCCCTCGGGGGAGGCTGTCGGCCACCCCACGGGGCCCAGGGTGGCAACACCATGCGCCTGACACACTTTGCTGGGACTGAACAGGCCCCAGAGGCTTCGGGGCCCACCCCGCTCCCTCTGCCCAGCCAGGGCCCCCAGGCCCCAGCAGGGACTGCCCAGAGACACCTGCCCTCCGAGGAGGCAAGTGATGTGCAAGCCGGAAAAGGGGGGCCAGGCACGCAGGGATGACGCATCAGAGTTAGGACCCTCCCGGCAGGTTCTAGGGGTGGGGTCCGCACCGTGGCCCCCGCCTGGCCCTCAGCACTAGGGCGCTGCAGCCCCACGGGAAGTGCCTGCTGCAGGGTGGAGGCCAGGCGAGCAGACTGCCCGACAGCCTATGAGAGCCAGCGCCTGGCAGTGGCCTCTCCAGCGTCATGCTCCGGCCAGCGGGGATGCGGGCACCCAGGCTCGCCCTCTGCAGGGAGCTCAGGGGAAGGGTCAGGGCCGCTGGGGAGGGGGTGCCCGCCCACCTAGGGCAGCTCCTAGGGCAGATGGAGGGGCTGTCAGACTCCAGGCGTGGCATTTCCTGGCTCACCCCCTCACTCGGTCATTCAACAAGCACCTCTGAGCTCACAGGGTAGCTGGAGGCCCCGACAAGCCCTGCAAGGCAGGCCTTGGAGGAGGTTGGGACGCTCTGAGGGTCAGTGGGGTCTTGGGGTCCCTAGGCTGGGGCTCGTTCCAAGGTTAAAATTGGGCTTCAAATGCCAATGTAGGGGTGTGTGTGTGGGGGCGTACAGTCTCTGTCCAGAAGAGGCTCTGGTGGGGGGACAGGCAGGGACGAGGCTGCCAGGTCAGTGCTGGAGCTGGACGAGCAGCTTCAGGAGGGGACAGAGGGCCGAGTGGCCCAGGAGGACATCCTTTTTGTGGCCAGAGAAACGGGGGGGGGGGTCGCCCAGCAGCCATGGCAGCAAGGGGCTCCACGCGAGCTGCCACAGCTCAGGGGCGCACGCCCTGGCCTGTCATGGAGAGACGGTCTCACGGGTACAGTTGGGACCAACCAGGGGTCAGACCCCAAGCCTCTTCCAGAAGAATATGCCGCGTGCGCGCGATCACTCCCTGCGAGGGGTAAAGAGGAGGGACCCGGAGACAGAGCGCAGCCACGGAGCCAGCAGCTGACCCCCAGCACGGGGGTGATCGCAAGTCCACGAGTCCCAGTCCACCCCCTTCCCACGGAGACCCTCTCCTTTCTGGGACCCTCCCAGGGAGACCCCTCCAGCCCCTTGCGGCGCAGTGGTCAGGGGCGGGGGAGGGGGGCACGGCGGCCCCGATTTGGTGCACGCAGCGGCCGTGCCGGGCCCTAGTGTGTTCTCTCTGAATCCAAATCTATGAGGATGAGCTAAGAAAGCAGCCCAGAGAGGTAAAGCGACGTGCCCAGGTCACACAGCAAGGATGTGAGCCAGGGGATGAGGCGGGTCCAGGCCTCATGGCGCCCACAGCCACTCCACACGGCCCCCCGGGGGGTCTGGCTGCCAAAAAGGCACCTCAGAGCCCCGGGACACAGAAAATCCCCCACCGAACGGCTGCCTTCGCGGTTCTCATCCTTTCTCTAGAGGTAGAGCAAACCCTCCAGCACGGAGGTGACGTCCTCTGTGAACTGAATGTTTCAACTGTACCCTCGGGACACGACGACGTGAGGGAAGACATTAGCCCGAGAAGTGGAGGGGACAGCTTGGGCCACTGCTCAGAACAAGGGGGCGCATCACAGCAAGGGAGGGGGGCGGGGGTCAGAGGTGAGCCCGAGACGCCCCAGGCTGCATGTGGCCGCCAGGACGAGCCCTGCCTCCCCCACCACCCCCGTGGAGGTCTGGCTCCACCCAGGACCTCTCTGTCCACAGGGACAAGGCTGTGGGCAGTCGGCCAGGGGGCGCCCACAGAGACAGGGGCCCCGGGGAGGGGGGGGGGGGAGGTCAGCAACAGGCCAGGGAGGGGCCGGAGGCTGTGGGGTCTTGGGACTCGAGTCCACAGCTTCCAAATTCCCCTCCGCTGCCTAGGACGAGGGATGGCGGCCAGCCCGCGGCTCAGTGGTGTCCCCCAGCCCCGCGGACAGAGAGCGCAGCCGGAGACAGCCAGTGACCGGTGCGGGGTGCCAGCCAGACACAAGGTCATTCGGCCGTGAGAAGGAACGAAGTCCTAGCATGCCGCGCGGGGACGGCCCCGGAACACCAGTCACACGCGCTTAGTGCCCCCCCCAAACCCCCAGCCGACCGTGGTCTGGGAGTTAGGGGTCACACCCGCACGACTCTGAAGACCCAAAAGACCACGGCACCCTACTGCTTTACAAGAGAGCTCTCATGGCACTGACTCAATCTTCATAATTTAACCACTAGCCGGCTCCTTCCCCGACCACCAAGCCCAGAAAAGCACCCCCCGCCCCCCGCGGTTCCAGGGGGAAAGGCAGGGCAGAAGCACTGGGGCCTGCTGGCTCTTCCCTCGTGCCCCCGCTGCACCCAGGCTTCCGGAAGCCGACACCCCCATCACCCGCGGCCCCCCGCACCACTGAGGTGGGTCCAGGGGCGAGGGGGCTTCCACCCAGGGCTGCCGTCCTAACAAGCTGTGTGCCTCGGGCTCATGACTTGACCTCTCTGAGCCTCAGACTCACCATCTGTACACTGAGCAACTCCGGGCTGTGAGCCCCTTCTGCTGATGGGGGAGACAGCAAGGTCACAGTTGGGACGACTGAGTGAGAAAAAGGGGACCAGGCACGGGGGTGCGGCCCAGGGATGCTCCCGAGAGGGACAGCACCTCCTCGTTTCCTCAAACTGAGGCCTAACGGGAGGTGGAGCCGATCAAGAATGGAACACGGAGCTCATGGCCTCGGCTTCAAGGCTTCAAACTCTCAGAACCTGGCTTGGGGCCGCCGGAAAGCCTACCGTTCTCAAGACACAGGGTGTCGAGAGCCGAGGTGCACACACAGCGGAACCTGAGTCGGGGGCGTCCCGGGTTCAAACGCTGCTCCCAAACCTCGGCCCTCCCATCTGAAGGACGGGGTGACTGGTCAGCCAGCTGCAGATGCCATGCTCCCACGACAGTGAGGGCTCCGGGCAGCGTGGCTGGGGCCGGTCTTCCCTCTCCCGGCCCCCCACCGAGGAGGCACTCCTCCCAGGACGGCGAGCACACAGAACGGCTGGGCCAGAGCCACGAGGAACAGGGCCCCACGGCCACCGGGCCCGGCCTCTGCCAGCAACACACTCTGTTCCCGGCCACTGAGGCCCGGAAGCCTCTGGCATGTGGGCTGCCTGCCGGCCCGTCCTTCAGCCGGACGCCAAGACCAGCCTGCGGCAGCGGAGAACAGACACCACCATCGAGACAGGCTCGTGCCCTGGGCCCACGGCCCTGGCGTGAGCCCCCGTCTGCAGACCTCCCCTGCCTGCCTCTGCAAGGAGAAGGGCCCTTGCACGGCCACGTGCTCTGCAGCGGTGAGCTGTCACCCCAGGACGTGCCCCCCGAGGTGGAGGGACGGTTGGCGGCGACTTTTCCCACGTGCCGACACTGCCTCCCGAAGGTTGAGAAAGGACACAGCCAGAACAAGGAGCTGGCGGGCAAATTCTGCCACGGGGGCGTCCCGTCACCTGAGGGGACTGCCGAGTCTCAGCCACCCCGTCCCCGCTGTGTGCGCACCCCCACGACAGCTGGTGTGCGGGCCCCCTTGGGCCCGGGTGGGGAGCTCGCTGCCTTCTGTGGGGCCACCTGCTCCCCAGCTGCGTGGCACGCCGTGGCCCGGGATGGCAGGGCCTCCCGATACAGGCCGGGCGTGCTCGGACGTGGCCAGGCGGTGCGCCCTGGTGGGCGTGGAGGGTGAGGAGTGTGCGAGTCTGCCAGCAATCATGCTCTGCCCAGGCGGACACAAAACCAGGCCCCAGCGGTCTGCCCTCCCAGGCCGCGGCCCACCAAGCCAATCCCGAGCTCACTGCCCAACAACCGGGAAGAGGGGAGATGCAGAACTCCGAAGACCCCCAGCCACCCCAGGTCAGGGCAAATGTCCCTCCTGCCGAGCTGCGGAGCTTCTGTACACAGACACACGTGTCCTCCCCGCACAGGGCCCTGGGACGCAAGCCCTAGACCTCTGGGGCAAGATAGATGGCGGGCAGAGGCACCCAGGTCCCTGCTTCCTCTGCCCAGAGGGCAGCCCCACATCCGAGCAGCAAGTCCAGAGACCGGCCCAGGACTCCCGGCGGCCCCAGCCACAAACTGCCTCCTACCCTTTTGTCCAACCAGCAGCCCATGACCCAGACTAACATGGGCAACTGGATGGTGGTCCCCAGAAGGGCCTGAAGCCGGAGGCCCAGGGAGCCTCCGGATAAAGATCAAAGCTCAGAGAGGGTCAGCGTTTGCCCAGAGCCACACAGCATGTCACTGCTCAAGTGACCCCAGAAGCCAGGGCTCCGATCTGGGGGACACCCATCCACGCCGGCACGCAACCCTTGCCTCAGGAGTTAGGCAGTCATGGGGGGAGCTGTCCCAGAGACCCCCACTCTGAGACCAAGCGGGTTTCTAGAGACTGTAGCCACCCCCGCGGTGGCCCCTGGAGACAAGGCCGGACAGAGGCGGCAGAGAGGCAGAAGCAAAAAGCAGAGGTGCCAGGGCGGGGTGGGCTCGCCGGCCGGGCGGGGGGCCGGGAGGGCCTGCAGTCGGGACGGCGCCGCCCACCCCCCAGAACGAGGCAGCGCGAGGGACAGCGGAGTGGCCGGGAGCCCACCCCGGGGCGGCTCCAGCTCCTGCTTGGGAGGAGGGGGCTGCGCTCCCCCGCGGGCTGCAGCCTGGCGGGCGCGCCTCTTACCTCTGGGCTCCTCCGCCTGTTTGGCGAGCTTGCGCAGCGCGGCGGCAAAGCTGGAGGACGGCGCGGCCTGGGCCGACAGCGCATTGCTGGTGGCGGGGCTGCCGCTGGGCACCAGGGCGCCATTGAGCGGCGAGGGGGTGAGGGGGTTGACGGTGGCGGTGGTCCTGGTCGCGGTGGAAAGCATCCCTAGTGAAGGGGACTTGGGCTCATGGCTCATGCCTGCAACAGGAAAAGAAGAACCAGAGGTCACCCAGAGAGTAGGAGGGCCCAGCACCAGAGCGGGGGTCCGCGGGGCGCGGGGTCCCGGCGCCAGCGAGCAGCATGCAGGGACAGGGAGCAGGAGCAGACGCGGGCGGCTCTGGCAGGACAGGCAAGGCGGAAGAGGGCCAGCGCCAGAGAGAGCGGGGCCGCGGCGCCCCCACCCCCGTGGACCCACAGTCACAGCCTCAGGTGCACCCAGCACCCCGTGACTGCAGACGCCAGACGGCTCAGCCCAGCAGGATCCCAGAGCACCTGCTCCCGCGTGCGGGAGGGACAGGGAAGCGCTGCACCTGCCCTCGTTCTAGAGAAAACACAGACTCAGGGTCTGACCCCAGGCAAGCCACCCGGGATGCTGGCAGGTCCCCAGTGACGCAGGTGCCTCGGAGACCAGCCCCGTCGGCCGTTGCGTGCGCCGCGGGGGAGAGAACGCGGCCGCCCCGCACGCCCTGCCTGCAGACCAAAGACACACAACTGTAGTCTGACCCACCGTCAGTGGGCAAACAGCCACCTTCCCACAGGCCCCCGGCCTCTCACATCCCGTCCAAGTGTCAACGAGGAGGCTGAACCTGCCTCCCGATTGCCCAATCAATAAAGGCCCAGCTCCATCTCAGGCGGCCAAGGAAGCGGTGCCATAAATAAGTTTTCCATTACCATTCCCTGCCCTCTCGGGGCCACCTGCCTGGCCCGGGCCCCGCTCCCCGCCCCCTCGCTGTGGGTGCGTTCCAGGGGTGTAAATCAAGCCCGATGGCCTTGTGGCTGGCAGGGGCCACAGGTCGTGTGCAGGGAGAAGCGAATTGACTTCCAAACCCCCAGACGGACACCCGGGAGAGGCAGGCATCCGGCGAAGGGTCCTTGGGAGTCGCGAGTGGAGGAACACAATCCTAGAACGCTCAAGAACACAACAGTGCGAGAAACATGCACTTCTTACAGGGTGGTGGCAAGGGACCGCCCCCCCCCCCAGGCTGCGGTCCACACCCCAAGAGGCTCTTCGTGGCCTCCAGAGCCCACCTCACCTCCACTGGGTTCTGCACTGAGTCTAAAGGAGTCTACCTGGAACCTGCTTCCATGTCCAACCCTGTGGGCCAGCAGGCTGGAAGGCGGCCAGGTGAGAAGAGGCGGATCCCCACAGGGGGGTGAGGCAGGGGTAGACGCCCACCTGCTGCCCCCAGAACTAGCTGGGAGAGGCAGCGGGCCCGGACACACGTCCTAAAGCCCGAGTCCCAGAGCGCCAGGTGGGGCAGGAAGAGCCATCCTTGGGGGCTCCGGCTGGTGCATCCAAGACAATATTGAGGGCTTGTGTGTGGGAACAAAGGACCCCCACAAGGGCTCCGATGCCCACAGCCAGCCTGCTGGCCTCCCAGCTGCGGGGCAGCGTCAACCCCCGGCTGACCCGCGCGCGTCCTCCTCTTCCTGGAATAGCAGGGGTGGGGGGGTGAATCCCAGTAGAGAAACCCAAGAATCCAGCGGGGTGTGAGGGTTCCTTCCCCAGAAGCCTGACTGCCAAAAAACACAGGTCTCAGGCCCGGGTCATTCTTGGCCAACTCAGCACCCAGCTGACCCCTGGAGGACCACTGAGCACGATGGATGTTACGCTCTGGGAGTGTGGCCCCAGGCTACCACCGGCACCTTTCCCTCCTCCAGTGGACAGCGTGGACAGAGGGGGCAGGAGGCCAAGGTCATGGAGTGAGGAAGTTGGGGCCCGAAGGTCAAGCTTAGCATTCACTTGGCTGCCAGGTACCTGGGGAATGAATCCCGTTCTGGAGCCTCAAAGCTGTATGACCTCAGGCAAGTCCCTTTGCCTCTCTGGGCCTGTCTCCTCGTCTGTAAAATGCAATAAGGACAAAGTCTACCTTGTAGGTTCATCTAGACAGACTTCAAGGAACTAACAAGAGGGACTTTAGAGTGTGCCCAGTGCACACCAGGGGCCATTTATTAAACAGTCCACCAGCCTATGGAGGGGCAGAAACACAAGTCCGGATGAGCAAGGGGCCCAGCCGTGGCCTCACAGGTCAGCCTCCGCAAACCAGGACACACACTTCCAGAATTGTGCTGCCTGCCCCACCTGGGGGACCAGGTGATGTGGCGTCAGAAGCCCATGTGCTGTTTAGGGTGCCCCCCACGGTCCCCCCCCCAGGCCGGGGACTGCACAGCCCGGCGTGCACACCGCGGGCAGAGCACAGTTCCACGTGCCTGAGCGGGCGGCGGCTGAGGACGGGTCACACGTGGGAGCTGATGGCTGTTCTGTAAGGAGAGACATCACTTAGAGATGCTACACGGTAAAATGGAGGCCTTGTGGGGATAAGGCCCCTGCTGGTCCTGGCCAAACACTCAGGGGAAGGTGTGGCTACGCAGAGCTGCTGGGAGACAAGGTGTGTGAGGAGGGACCCTGGGCTCTCTCCCGCAGGGGACGTCAGTTAGGCATGGCTGGGTCACCTCCCAAGATGCCCCCAGATGGGCGTAGGAGAGGCCAGCAGCTGTTCACAGTCCGGTCCTGGTCGTATGGATGGCGCAAGGCCACAGTCAGGCAGCACGCCCAGGACTCGAACCCTGTCTCCCGGCCCCACACGGCCTCCCCGCACACCTTACACCACCTGCCCGCTCCAAGGCCTCAACGGGACGCTCAACCAGAAGGGATAAACATGCACGCGCACACGGCTAAAACACGTGTTGCCCAAGTGTCTGAAAAAGACATCCACAAAGTCTTTGTTGCTCATCCCTTCAAGGGGTGGAGACTAATTCTCTTGCCGGACTCACTTCTGACCAACAGAGTATGGTGGAAGTGGTGGCGTGTGACTTCCAAGAAGAGACCATCGTGGCCGCTCTCCTGCATCACTTGAGTGGAGCGTGCTCAGGCTGCCCGCAGTGTCCCAGGTTTCCTGCCGCCTCCAGACAAAAGCCGCGTTCCTCCCCCCCCCCCCGCCCAGATGAGCCTTCAGATGAGACCACAGCCCCGGCTGTCAGCTGAATCACAGCCTTCTTGGAGCCTCTGAGCCGCCCCGCATCCCTGAATGTTAAGTCTGGGAGAGTTCGTTACGCAGCTTAGGATACCCGACACAATACCACCACACGTTCTACTGACCAAGACTGCCGTCTCGAGCTCTCTCCCCATCTCTCTTCCTTCTTGGAGCCCCAAAAGCTCGACCATCTGCAAATACTCCATGACCAACATGGCCCCCCCACCCCGATGCCATCGGAGACCGTCAACCACACCCTCCCTGTTCCCTCAGTCCTTAGAGAGCCAGCCATCTCTCTTTAATCCTCAATTCTGTGAGAAAGGTGTCACTGTGCCCATTTTACAGATGGGGGAGGCCAGGCTTGGATCCAAGGGCCGACAGACGGTTAACAGCAGGGCTGAGATTACTGCAACAAAGAACCTGCATCCTGTTTATGCCAAAGTGGTCAGGGCCCAGATCCAGACCCATCCTGCCCCACACCGCACAAGGATGTAAGAGATGGGGATGAGGGGACAAGGGGTGGGGAAGTGAGGGTAGACAGTGCGGTCATTCCACCTCCCAGTGACAGTCCCCAAGGCCCAGGAGCTGATGTGAGGCCACTGCCCAATGGCCATGTGACAGGCTGGCCAGCTGGTGACCTGGGTGGACCTGTTGTGACCGCCAGCTGACAGTGCTGGGCAGGGTGGCACCAAGGTGCTGGGACAGGCAGGCGGTAGCCACAGGACAAGTCCCAGGCCAGACCCCAAAGATCACATGCCCCTTAAGGTGTTGGTGGGTGTCTTCAAGTGGCAGCAAGAAGAACAAAGGTCTCACTTCTTATGTTGTAGCTTCTCTGCAATAAACCAAGTTCTTAAAAAAGGGGGGATCATCGGGGCACCTGGGGGGCTCAGTTGGTTTAAGCATCTGCCTTCGGCTCAGTTCATACTCCCGGGGTCCTGGGATCGAGCCCCCTGCTGGGCTCCCTGCTCAGCAGGGAGTCTGCTTCTCCCTCTCCCTCTGCCCCTCCCCCTGCTCATGTGCGTGTGTGCTCTCTCTCGCCAATACAGGAAATCTAAATAAATAAAGTAAAATAAGTAAATGGGGGGGTGGTCATCAAAGAGATGGAGACCCACCAACATGAAGTGGGCACACCAACAGAGGGCCCGGAGGCGCCCCTCAGGCCAGGGCCTCCCCTGCTGGAACTCAAACCCAAATAAATCCTCACCTACTGGCCCCTGCCCCTGCCTGGTGAGCAGGGTCTCGGGGGGCAGATCCCCCTCCACGCCCTCCCCTGGATGACAGTCACACTCCTGCTGGCGCTGAGTAACCTCCCCTCCTCAGACAAAGCCTGGCACCTGCTCCCTGGGCTCTGGCAACAGCCCTCCGGGTTCCTGGGGGTCCCCCAAAGCCAGCATCTCTGTCATAGTGTCAGCTCTGGGCTCCAGGGGCGCTGCGAGCCAGGAAAGCTACTGGTGCTGTCAGGTCACTTAAAATAGAATCCCAAGCCAGCCACTTCATTAACGAGCTAAAATTAGCCCCGCTCGCTTCTCAGCATATGCACCCCGGGAGGGCGGGCTGGGGGACCACCAGCAGCCGGGATGGCAGCTCCTTTGCACCCAGGACGGACAGGCAGAGGCCAAACTCAGAGGACCCCGACGCCTGGCAAAGGGTCACCCTGGACCTACTCTGGCTCGACGCAGCCTCGGGGGAGCCCCCTGCCCCCTAAGCCCTGCCCTGGGAGGCAGACGCAGGCCTCCCCCACGCACGTGCTCTCTGGCTGAGGCCACGGCAGGCGCTGCCACCACCGTGGAGTCCGCAGGGGTGGGCTGAGGGGAGAGCAGGCCTCGGGGCGGCCCCCGCACCCTCAGGAGACCCCAGAGGACCATGGGGCGCCTGCTCCCCGTGCCCTCATTAGAGAAGGTATTTATTAACTTCTGTGCTCCTGGCCATTGACTGAATTCTCGTCTACATTATCAGCTCATGTAAATTCATTATCCTAACAGCTGGGAATAAGCTCCACTGCGT